GCAACTGCCGAGCCCTTTGCCAGCTGGTTCCTGGACTCTGAGGGCGTTTTCCCCAACCTTTGCTAATAAAACAAGCCCTGTGAAGCCATGAGCAGTGTGGTGCTTCCCGCCGGCGGGAGCCGTGGGCGAGTGTCCCAGCGTGGGGCCGGGGGACACCGGTTCTGCCGGGAGGTGACTTTCCATGGCAGTGACGGGGAATGTGAAGGGACAAAGAATCACAGAGTCGTGGGATGGTTTGGGTTGGAAGGGACCTTCAGAGACTGTCCAGTCCCAACCGCCCTGCCCTGGACAGGGACACCTTCCACCAGACCAGGTTGCTCCAAGCCCCATCCAACCTGGCCTTGAATCCGTCCAGGGATGGGGAATGTACAACTTCTCTGGGTGCCCTGTGCCTGTGCCTCACCTTCCTCAGAGTGAAATATTTCTTCTTGATCCCTGCTGCTGTGCATCTGGAAGAGGGGGTGGGAGACATCAACCCCTGCTAGAGAGGATCACCAGGTTCAGGGCTCTCTCCAAAGGTCTCCCCGGGAGTGTCCCACCGCTGCTGGTGCTGCCCCGTGCCCCACAGCTCCCAACACCTTTCTCCTGCCCATCACGGATTCCTGCCCCAGAGCTGCCCCAAGTGGGGCCGAGCCTGGGGACTGTCCCCACAGGGCAGCAGAGCTGCTGGTCTCAGCACCTTTGGAAAGCAACTGCCCCCAGGACCCCAGCCCTGTGTCCAGACATGAAGCTTTGGCTTATCTTGGGGGTTCCCACATCCTCTCGCTTGCTCAGGCCATTTCTCCTGGCTGTTGAGAGCCCGTTGGCTTTGGCTTGTCCTCCCTGAGCACGGGCAGCAGGGACAGGGTCTGCAGCCACCAGTGGCCAAGAGGCCAGTGGCGGCGGGGACGGGGGCTCTGGATGGGGCTGCTGGGGGCCAGAGCCAGAGCTGCCCCACAGCTGAGGGTCCTGGTCAGGTTCAAGCAAGGACAGGGAGAGTCCCAGGGGGCTTGGGGGGAGTCAGGACATGGGAGATGTGGCAGCAGGAGGTGCTGGGGATGACACGGGGACACTGAGAGAAACGTGTGGTGACATTTCCCCCCCCTCCCGAGCCATGGCTGGGGACGTGCTCCCCAGGGGGATGGTGGGTTGGGTCAAGGCTTGCCCAAACACCAGCTCTGTGGTCACACAGACCCAAGGAGCTCCTGGCATCACTGCCCAAAAATCTTGCTTTTCTGGAAAAGCAGCTGCCGAGCAGCAAATCCCCCCAAACGTGGGCAAACAGAAGTCCTGCCAGCCACTGTGAGGATTTCAGAGCAGATCCGCCCGCTGCGACCCTCCTCAGCCTGGGCAAAGTTGCAGCCTTGTTTTATTCAGAGAAAATGGAGCATGAGGGGGCTGCAGGGAGAGACTTAGGCCGTCCCCACTGCAGTGCCAGTTCCAACTGGGGCACGATGGTTCATGCTATGGGAGAACTGGAGCCGGGTGGTGGACATGGGGACTCCAAGCAGTCGTTGGAGCTCCTCTGCCTCCACGCTGATGGCAGAGCGAGGTGCTGAACCAAGAGCAGCGGAGGGACGTTGTTTGCAGGTGAGGTGAGGACCACGGAGGAGGTGATGTCCCTCTGGTGGTCTGCCCGGCTGGAGATCAGGGACGGGACTTTCGTCACCTGGAGAAGGTGGTGGTCACAGCGAGGAAGGCCTGCGGTCACCTTGGCAATGGCTTTTGGCTCGGGCTGCGTGCTGGCAGCTGGAGGGGCGGGTGGTGCCCCGGGGAGGTATCGTAGCGGGACGTGGGCCGAAGCGCTCAGCACCGCTGTTGAACAGCAGCAATTAGAGCCCCACGGCGTTCCCTGAAAAAGCCGGTGACGTGGGACAGCTGGCAGGACACGCGGCTGACTTTTGGGCCACTTGCAATCCCCCAGCACCCGCAGGTCCCTCGCTGCGCGCTGCTGTCTGGCCAGCCGGCCCCGACCCCGCTGGTTCACGGGGAGCTGGTGCCTGCTGCGATTGCAGGGCATTGCATCACGCTGCCCCCGGGGATGCGTCAGGCCCCGGCGGTGCCCTGCTGCTGCCCACCGCTGCTGGACGTGACTGATAAGAGACGCGAGGTGGTAACAGCAAAGGTCTCTGTCCTTGAGAGACGCAGCGGAGGTCCCTGGCGGGACGAGGGCAGGGGGGGCAGGTCGGGCCCTCTCCGGCGTGGCAGCGGGATGCTGGCTCCGTGCTGCCCTGGAAAGGCTCCCGGGGCACCGGCACTGCTGCCCGCTGCCACCGGGAAACGGCCTTTTGTTCCCATTGTTGAGGCCAGTTGGGATTGCAGCTTTCTTTCTATCTGTTTAACGCCATCTAATAAAGCAGAAAGCAGTGACCCGGGCACACGGGCTCAGTATCAGGAAGGCAAGAGATAAAGCGCAGTTTTGGCCGAAAATGTCAAAGGAACGAGAAACTCCAAACACCCTTTCCTACCCAGCCCCAAGAAGCCCCAGTCCCACAGTCCCACCGCCCCCACGGACGGGTGGGCTGCCAGCACCCCCACCCCCCCCCAGGGCAGGTTCCCTCCTGCACAGCCCTGCCTTTGGATTCGGGGGAGCTCTGGCCCCGGCCGTACCCCCCGCTGCTGCCCATCGCCCGCTCGTGCAGGCGCCGGGGGGGACGCACCCCACCAAGTCTCGCCCGCGCACCCCAGGTCTGGCTGCCCAGGTGGCCGAGTCGGCCGTGGGCCATCGAGGTGTCCTCAGGGCAAGGGTGGCCACCAGCCTCCCGAGAGGACGTGGAGCCAGGGGATCCTTCCCCTCCGCTCAGCCCTGCTGGGCCACGTCTGGGCTCCCCAGTACAACAGAGCCGTGCACGTGCTGGAGAGAGCCCAGGGAAGGGCCATGAAGGTGATGAAAGGACAGAAGCATTTTCCACCTGAGGAGGGAGAGATGCTGTTTGAGCTGGGACTGTTCAGCCTGGAAAAGCCTCTGGGGGAACTTACCCATGTGTATAAAGACCGAATGGGGAGTGAGGAGGAGATGGAGCCAGACTCTTCCCCGTGGTGCCCAGGGGCAGGACAAGAGCCCACGGGCACAAACTGGAGTTCGGAAAATCCCGTCTGAACATTCTTACAGGGAGGGTGGTCGGACACAGTCCCACGTTGCCCAGAGAGGTGGTGGAGCCTCCACCCTCGGGGATACCCCAACCCCAATCCTGCTGCTGACCCCGCTCGGGCAGGGGCTGGACCACATCATCTCCAGAGGTGCCTTCCAGCCTCTCCAGCGCTGACCTGGCCCTGGCCCTGCCTGGTGCCCCCGTGCTGGCAGCCCAGGAGCTGGCTGCAGGCTGCTCGGGGCAGCTGATGGGGACGATTCTTGGCCGGGCCTGGGCTGTGATGCCAGCAGAGCTGCTTTCAGCAGCGTCCCACCGCCTTGGACTCCTGCTCTGGCCCCTCCAAGGTCTCTCCCTCAAACTGGGAGTGTTGATGATTCCTTTTAGGCTAACACCCTCTTGATTTTCACAGTCCCTTTTGTAATTCCCGGCTTACTATTTAATGGCCATTGTCCTCTTTAACATACCCACTTTTGGGCAAACACCCTTCAAACAATTATCTCCTGTTCATTATCCCCTTCTTTTAGCAGGTGAGTTTTATCAAGGTTAGATGAAGGTGTGCTGCATGAGCCCCCCACACCCACCCTGAAGCAGGTTGGGGCAGGGCTCATAGGGGACTCCCTGTCTCTGGAGAAACCCATCACTTATTCTTCCTGCCTCCTTAATACCTCGCAGATGAAGGCACGCTTCGCTGCGCGATGCACATCTCTGACCATAAACCCCAAACATCTCTTGGGGTCCCACCAGCCAACTCCCTGTTGGTGTTTTGAGGGCCCAGCAGCACGATTCATGGAGGTTTCCCGTGGTGCTGTCTGCAGTCTGCCCGTGTCAGGCAGGGGATATCTAAAAACCCAGCTGGCCACTGTCCTGAGACACCAGCTGTTGTGGAGCCTGCTCGAGTAGAGTTGTAATTACCTGGTCCCTATTGAACCCAGCTGATGGTCATTTTCATCTCTTTAACTTAACCAGCTTTGGGCAGGGACATCTTCCACTAGAGTGATCAAAACCACGTCCAAATTGACCTTCAATGCTTCTCTGGACAATGTGTTCCAGCATCTTACCACCCTCACTGTAAAGAATTTCTCCCGCATGTCATCAGCAAAAGACAATCCCCATTTTCTGGGCAGAAAATGCATGGATGTGAAACCTCACCTGGGAGCAGAATCAGACCCTGGTGACAAGGCAAGGAGAGGGACTCAACGGTCCCACAGCTCATGTCACCAGACCCCAGCACAGCGAGAGGCTTCCCTGGGGAAGCGGCGCTCGAGGAAGGTGCTCAGAGATGCTGCAGAGCAGAAGGTGTCCCCCCCGTGCACACGGGGAACGCGGCACCGCAGGGGGAAGCCAGGGCAGATGCTGAAAACGAGCGTAGGAGATAAGGAGTTGTGTTAAAAACCTTCACAACTGGAGTAGCCCCAACTCCAAGGTCCAGAGGAGTGCCAAGCACGCTGCAGTGAAATTCAGAAAAGCTGCAGATCCTCAGCGTGTCTGGAACACGTTTGGGTTCAGTGGGTGGACTCAGGAGCCAACAACCAAGTGAGGAAGTAGCCAGGTTGGATCCTCACCCCCGGTTAAGAAAAAGCAGCATCGGAATGCAAAATAGATAAGGGAATTAGTTAGGGAGAACATCTGTTCTTGTTAGCGGGACAGAATTAATTTCACAGAGAGACTCTGGCTACAGTGTCTACAGGGCCTGGCCCAGAGCATGCTCATGGGTTAGGAAAAATGTCAGTGGGAGTTAAAAAGGAGGAACTTACACAACTACTTTCTGGCTTTTTATAAAATATATGCTGTGTGAACAATCCTCCATTTTCACAGTTAAAATAACTCAAAAAGGGATGAATCAAAGTTATGATCCTATTACAAATATCAGCCACCTATATTGTGATACACCATAATGGAATGGAAGAACAAATAATTAAACAGTAAATATTTAATTGTAGCTTTTATTACACGAAAGCAGAGTAATGGTTCATTTCCCAAGCCATGGGTGGTTGGACGGTTGCAGGCAGCTGGCCGAAGCTCTTGGTACGGAATTAGTTCATCCCGTGACGTGTCACTGATGGAGAAATCCTCAGCGAACTGGGTAGAAATTGTCCCAAAGCTCTCCTATTCTTTTCTTTTCTGCAAGAGGCAAGGGGTGGAGGTGGGAAAACCAAATCAGCATTTGAGACTGATTCTAAAGATTTTTAATATTAAAGTCTTAAGGTTAACAAAGCCACCAAAAATCTGATTTTTGCTACCAACAGTGAACTATTAGCTTGCTGCATAAAGTAAATGCGTAAGTTCTTTTCCATCAAGCTCTCCACAGATTCCTGTGAAGAGATTTCAATATTGATGCTTTTTTATTCCTATATATTTATTTTGACATAGCATGATGAGGATCACAGTCCAACAGCCAGAGTCACCTAATCGTATTGTATTAGAAAACAGACAATTTTCTCCAAAATTTGCCATTGCATTCCTGGCTCAGTGACTACATTTAGTAAAATGCTGTTCTTCACCACGGCTCTAAACCAAGAGCACTTCAGGTTTCCGGCCACTTCCATTTTATTTTTTTTTCACCTTCTCTGCTTTTTTTCTGAATATTGATCATGTCATGTTTGAATCAACACACACTGCAATTTTACAAGAATAAACAGTAAAATGGTGATTTTACAAGAATAAAACCTGTGATTTCTAATTTTTGTTATTCCTTCTTCAATGGCACAAGTTTGGTCTATTCTTATTTTTGGGGCTCTGCCATTTTTTATATTCCAATAAGCTCTTAGGAGGAAGAGTTGGCCATCAAGGCAGCTGATCAGATCAGTAAAAATATCTATTTTCAAATCACAAAATCCTTAATACTGTTGCAACTGGGGTTGTGAGTAAGCAGGAGTCAGCAGTCAGTACAACTTGCTAGAAAAGAACAGATTCTGTAAGCAACCCACCAACCTCTTTACAAATATTAGCACTTATTATCTTGTACATTATGGCAGGCTGAGGTCTATTTTAAAATACCAACTTATAGTACCTGCTATCTTAAAGTCTTCTGGGTGCTGCCTGACGTACTCAAACAACTCTCTGTCCAGTTTGGCATACACGTAGTCCGCACGTTTAACAAGGTAATAGCCAAGAAACCACCCCACGGTGGTGAACAGGATCTGGCGGTGAACACCTGCAGCAGAAGGAGGGATGTCCCCCCTGTCTCAGCCCACCTCCTGGCCCCAGCTGGGCCCCCCTGCCTTTCCCAGTCCCCCCACTTCAGCCCCACACTCCCCAGCTCCCCTCTCCCTGCTTCACCCCTGCAGACAGACCCCCTGGGTCCCTATAGCACCCTCCTCTGACAGCCCCCAGAGAGGCTCCCCCCTTTCCTCAGGGCTCCCCCCCCCATCCCTCAGAGAGTCACCCCAAATCCCTCCACCCCCATACGATGCCCCTTTCCCCAGCCCCTTCCAATTACCTCCAATCCCCACCTGCCAACAGACCCCCACACCTGAAGGCTCCCTCCCATTCACTCCTGCCCCTACAACTCTCACAGAGTCACCCCAAATCCCACAGACCACCCCTTTCCCCTCCATCCCTCCCAGTCCCTCACCTCAGGGCCCCTGAACCTTCCCCCCGCCCCTATAGCACACAGAGTGACCCCAAATCCCACATACCCACTTCCCCAGCCCCCCAGTCTCCTCATCCCCTTACCTCAGGGGCTCCTCCCCTTCACTCCCACCCTATATTCCTCACAGGCACCCCAAATCCCATATAACCCCTTCCCCAGCTCCCCCAATCCCCTTTGCTTCTCCAGCCCCTCCCCTCAGGCCTGTCTCCCCTTACTCCCACCCCTGTATCACACACAGTGACCCCAAATCCCACATACCCCCCTCCCCAGTCCCCAATTCCCTCTGTCTCCTCACCCCATCTCCTTAGGGCCCCCTCCCCTTCACTCCCGCCCCTACATCCCTCACAGACACCCCAAACTGCAGGTATTCCCTTCCCCAGCCCCTCACCCTCTGTGCTGTCTCCCCTTCACTCCCGCCCCTATATCCCTCACAGTCACCCCGAATTCCACATAACCCCTTACGCAGGCCCCTAATCCCCTCTGTCTCCTCACCGCCGCCCCTCATGGCCCCCTCCCCTCCACTCCTGCCCCTATATCCCACACAGACACCCCAAATCCCACAGACCCCCTTCCCCAGCCCCCCAATCCCATCTGTCTCCTCACCCCCTCCCCTCAGGCCTGTCTCCCCTTACCCCTGCCGCTATATTACATAGAGTGATCCAAAATCCCGCATAACCCCTTCCCCAGCCCCCGCATCCCCTCTGTCTCCTCACCACCTCCCCTCACGGCCCCCTCCCCTTCACTCCCGCCTCTATATCCCTCTCAGACACCCCAAATCCCCACATACGCCCTTCCCCAGCCCCCCCGGGCTCTCCCCCCCCGCACCGGCTCGGATGACGGGCCGGTGGTTGAAGCCGTTGTCCAGCAGCGCCGTCACCCAACCGACCAGACCCAGCCAGACCGAGCCCTTGTTGACGAGGGGAGGCGGCGGCAGCGACCGCGACTCGTCCGGGAGGAACGCCATGGCGGCGGCCCCGCCGAAGGTGACCGGGCGGCGCGGGGAGGCAGCAGCGCTCCCCTTCCGCCGCGCCCGCCGCCCCGCGCTCGGGTTCCGCTGGGTCCCCTGACCCGCTTGTAGTTATTTAACTCCCCCCCCCCCCCCCCCCCCAAAAAAAAAAAAACAAACAAAAACAGAAAAAAACAAACAAACAAACAAACAAACAAAAAAACCAACAAAAAAACCCCAAAACCCTACAAATGGCGGGCGGCTTTACAGTGGGGGGAGCGGGTGGAGGTTGCCGCAGCCCTGAGGCCTCTGGGGGAAGCGGCTCAGCCCCAGCACCGGGGAAGGCCACTCTGTAATTAAACGAGGGTTTTAATTACACCCTAAAATCAAAACCAATTCGTTTTTCCGAAGCTCTGCCCACCAACGGATTAAAAGACTGAGACAAAACTGTTGTTTTTTAATTAACAAAATCACATTAAACCAGCTGCAACAGCACCAGGATTGACATAACTATTAAAAAAACTCCACATTTCAACACATCACAGATCCTAAAGGATTCCAAGCCTCATTCCTAAAAATTATTATTTAGCTTTTCCCACACAGGATTAGGTTGAGCTGTCACCACTCCTTAGCAGGAGATGCCAAAGTTGAGGCAGGAGTCCTTAGAAGATTTTGGCTTGAATTGCAAAGGTGCTGCTGGAGAAGAGCAGGGAAAGGTTTTTTTTTTTCAGCACATTGCCATTCCCCTATGCAGGATGGCACCTGTAGATGGATAAACACGAGCATTGCAGATGCTTTACCCTGCCCAGATCTTGAAGGCTTAGACCAAAAGTAGAATACGGGTGGAAGCAGCACTGGGGCAGTGCCAGCAGTCACAGCCGCTAAAAGGAACATGGTAAAGTAGTTATGGAGTAGAAAGAGCAGAAACTGGGGGGGGGAAGTAACAAAAATGAGTGAAAAAAGCCTGAAACCGAGCTCACTGGCTGTGAAAAGTTTAAATGTAAAAGCTCTTTGGTTGCACAGATGACCACAGCAACTATTCTACTGTCCACCCACTGCTCTAACAAGACTCACACTCTATTTTAACAGCCAAAATACTCAGAACAGAGAGCACAGCCATCCCATGGGCTATGCCCTCTGAAGAGGGTCACATTCTTCAACTAACACAGAAGAAAGTTAAAGAACTTCTGGAAAAAAAAAAATAATATATTTCCTCCCTACTCCTCTCCCAGTTTAATGTCAATACTGGGCTCCAAACCAGGCCCCAACTTCTAGAGCAAAAACTTTTGGGGAAGGTTACATAGGGTTTAGAGAAAGTACAATGATGAACTGCATCAGGCTGTAGGTAACTTGGCTTTAAGAGTAGGTGATTCTGCAGAGGCAGAATATTCTATATCTCCTCTTCAATTTACTAGAGGAACTGTGGGCACTTGCTTTTTTGTCAAAGTTGCAGAATTTTACACAAATTGCAAATAAATACAATTATCCAGACAGATTATCCAATACATTTAATGGTGTTAAAAACTTCATTTCAGAAGTATGCCTCAATTTGGTAATCTGATCTACAAAAATAAGTATTACAAGAATGCAAAAACCTCTTTGCACATAATCTATGAAACAAGGAGATTAAAGGGACATGAACATGTTAAGCAACTAATTTAAAGCTTGAGATAGGGGCATTCAGGAGTTTGACAAAACCCCTCAGAACAAGTTTCCAGCTAGACACTACATCCTTACTTCTTCAGGTGTCCCTCAAAAACAGGGCTTAGGCATAAAATAAAAACACACCACAAGAAGGCTCAAACAAAAAATAACAAATTTTTAATTTACATATTCTACAGAATGCAGTTATAATGTTCTCTTACACAACAATGATCCCTTGTAATTTGCCACAGTGATTTTTTTATTCAAACACAAACAGTAATGGGAAAGCTGGGCAGGTTTTCCTCAGGACAGAAGTCTGGACCTCATTAAGCTTCACAGTTTATCCACGGCAAGCAGCATCTCACCATGCACCATGTTATTGTGACAAGCGCTTCTGATCAGAGGTATCCTCGTTGGGCAGTATAGAAGTGTTGGAAGAAAACCCTCCCCTCATGGCGATGGTACACATACACCGTGTCTCACCATGAGTTGTATGTCCTTGTGACAAGCCCTCACCCTGCCAGATAATCCCCTCAAAGGGATAACCAGGGACTGGTCCCAACACTGTGACTTTACTCAGCCTTTTGTCTAACAGAAATTCTCTCAGTCAAAACAGAGATATAGAGTTTCAGCCAAGCGTACGTGACACCCAGAGCACTGTATACAGAGGTCAGCAACAGAGGAACAAAAGGAAAGTGCCATTTCCAGGGGGTCAGAGGAAATATAATTTCACAGAAGATTTCCAAAGGCACTAGTTGGATGAGGTAGATTGTTTCAAGCCAGTTAAGGAGAGGCCTCTCCCTCCTGTCAGAGGAATTAAAAAAAGATAATGTTAAAATACATGATGTTAACTAAAAAGTAACTATTCTGGTTTTCAGCTATCACTGGTGACCAGTTCAAAGAATATCCCCCCCCATTAGTTCACTATAAGGCTTTAAATAAGAATTTAAAGAGTTCCAGTAGGAAAAAAAAGTGTGATAATAAAGAGTACAGCTCATTTCCTTATCATGTGGCTTTTTCACCAAGTTCTAAAATGCTTTGGAAGCTAAGTAGAAATCTCACCAGCAGCTCTGCTTCACCTCACAATTTCAGTGAACAACTGAACAGAGACCGTCATACACACACTTGTTCACTGAAGCTGTGCTATGCCAAAAGACTGGAAATGTCAGATTCATCTTAACCTCTGCTCCCTTCCCCCAAGCTGTCCGTAGGATGTACTATGAGCCAATCTCTCTTGCAAAGGACATTGGTGGTAGGGTTTTGACTGCAGGTAGTTTACAGAGGAATTAATGTTCTGGAAGGAAGTTGGGGTTTTTGGAAAGTTAGGAACAGGAAACTTGAAAAAGCTCCATCTCTAGACAGAAACTAAGCTCCTGCCGAAGTTTTTAGAGCTGTTGAGACAGAATGATTGAATTCTGGAGTGGGTAAAAAGCAGCCTGGTTGAAAGAGGATCACCTACAAAAAGCAAGTGACTGAAGTACCAAACACAGGTTTACAGCATTTCTGATATCCTTCATTCATGGCAAAACCAAGTTGTAAAGTCTGGGAAATAGGAAAGTGGAGACTACAGGGGTTATAAGGTAGAAGCACTACCTTTTGTCAAGTGGGTAAGAGATAAACAGCCTGTAAAAATACACAGGGTGACTTGGGTAATTATATGTTCTGGCAACCAAGTGTTTGCAGGGGATTTGTTGAAAAATTACAGCTTGCAAACGTATACTATTTATAAGCTGTCCCTTCCACACATGAAAGTACTAAGTACCACTGCAAAAAACCCGCAATAATACTTAAGTGTTAGCACAGATAAAAAAAATATCTAGATAACTTGCTGTAATAAGTGCTCCAATGCTGAATTAAATCCTCACAGGCTACAGCATTATAACTCTGTGCTTTAACAGCTCATCAAGCAGGCAGGGATTTGCAGCCTACTGGGACGAACTGGGTAGTTGTCACAACTCAACAATGATATGCTATAATAATCCTGAGTTAAGTCTTGCCTCCTGAGAACAGAGCAGAGGCAGCAGCTTCTTTTAACTGGTAACACTTCAATTTGATACTTCAGCATCACTTTTCTGTGCTGTTTGTCCCTTATGACACTGTTCCCAGTGAGAGAAGAAATGGTTTTGTTCTTGGCATAGAGAACAAGTTTCTTTAATTACCTGAATAGAGATTTCAACGATGAGAAGCTATATACTGTAAACAGCAGCATAAGCAGTATTTTAATTGGAAGTTCTGAAATATAAGGAACATAACACACTTTTAAAATTAATTAGAAAAATGTCTTGCCATATGAATTGCCGTATCTTTAAATCCTACTAGTCATATTTGCATTGTCCACCTTAACTATTTTCTCCAAACAGAATTAAATGTTTTACAGCTTAGGACAACTAAAAATAAGCACAGATATTTACTAAAGCAAACGCCAAGCATTTGCAATACACTTCAATTATCTATAAACATACTGAACTCAATTATAATTACAATACAATAGCACTGCAAATAAGATTTTCCTATTAAAAACTAAACCAGAAATTACCGGGCCGGGAAGCTTAAAACATAAATGTGACAGCCAAGTCAATGCTATCTAGTTCTAGGTTACATGGTAGATAAAAATTAAGTAATAGAGAAGGCAGAGGAAGTTTCTCATTTCTCAAGGCAGCAGCTTCACTGTTGCAAATAAACAGCAACGTCAAACCAAAGGAGTGTAAGTGGCTGGATTTGAACTCTCCCAGAAGGATGACAATCAATACAGTGTTATAGTTGTGTCGTAGCTATGAAGGCCTAGGGTTTAAGTGAAGCAAACAGACTATTGATTAATTGAAAGGGGAGAAAGGAAGAAACAGCTTCCCTATCTGTCTCTATACGTACTGATTTAACTGATGCTGCTGCATGATTTTTTAGTTTAAGCACATTACTGATAGCATGAAGTAGCAATCAGCTGGAAAAGTCAGCAGGAAAACTGCCTACCAGGCTTGTGGTTTCAAATGGTCTTTTTCACTTTTGCTTCATGTGGTTATGTTAAACAGGGAAGTTTCTAGGACTGCGGCAGAATGGGGGACAACAAATACTGACTATGACAATTTTCCATCTCTATTTCAACTTAAAGCCTGTGGCTCTTTCACAGCTTGTTGAACCAATGCTTCTCTTCACTTGTTGGAGGGTTTGTATTTGTGGAAGCAGGCTGACATACATCCCCCTGCAACTTCCAACTTATTACATAAAATTATCCAAAACCATTACCTGAATGTCAGCTCTGGAAAAAAACCCAAAGCAGTAAGATGAAAGCACAGAAAGAAGGAATACACTTTACCTGGTGGCGTGAACAACAATGGAAAAAGCGAGAAATGCCCCGTGGTTGTCAGAATCAAGTAGATGCCAGCATCCTTTGCTCTCTGAACAGACAACAAGCTAAAAATTACAAGAATTTGTTACACTTTTGTCTTTCAGTGAAGAAAATTTCAGCAAGACACTAAACAATTCAGAAGAGAGTGAAGAACACATCAAATAGTTCCATAAAATCCCAGTCCCTCCAAACACTGGACCTGTGATGAAGTCTCCTGCTTCCAAACCATGTGGCCTCAGAGATAAAAACGCAGGAGAAAAAAAATCAGCCAGGAAATACCCCCCCCAGAAAAATCACATACCCACTGAACACATATCAGAAAGACCCAAAGTTTTCCACAAATGGTCTTTTTCCTTTGCCAATTGGCTGCCAACACTGTCATCCCCACTGTTCCTCCTTCCTTTTGTTTTTCCAGTGTTAATTCCCTCCCTCCCACAGTTCCCACCGCAAAAATTTAAGCATCACTAAACCTCAGATCTAAGGAAAACACAGATCATAGCAATACTGGTCAGGAAGTTTATGAACTATAGCCTCACTTCTACTCTAAACAGGCATTAAGTCCTTCTGGTAGAAACTGCATACTGTTCTTATTCAACACAGTGCAGAAGGTCTCTTTCCTCAGTTGGCTCCTGAACAACCTACCTAGTGCTTTAAATATGAACCACAGCCTTCATCAAGGCTTGAGCTGCCTAGTAGCTAAAAGATTACAATATTTTTACATTTGTTCCTGCCAGATCTCTAAACTTTAGATCTTTTAGATCTCTAAACTATTCTGAGAGAAAAAGAACTAAATCAAGTATAAATGCTTGCCAAGCTTGAATATAACAGCAGTATCAAACATCTCAAGCCAGCCAATCCAAATTAATTTTTCTCTTTAAAAGGCAAAGCCACAAGACATACCACAAATAGGTCTTGGACTTTTTGGGTTCAATGAATGCACTGCACAAATGCAGAAATAACAGTGGGGAAAACAGAAGACTAAGGAAGCAGCCTGCTTTCATCCACCATGTCACCTGAGTGAAATGTTTTACCCAGCCTGCTCCCAAGCTGTCACTAAGAAAAAGAAGCTTAAAGGGGAAGCTAAATGGATTCTTTTAAGAGCTGTGAGGCCACATGTAGCCTAAAACTGAACCCTACTGTTTCATAATCATGGTTTATTTGGGGGTTTTGGGTTGTGCTTTTTTTTTTTTGCTTTATTCTAACAGCAATTGAGCATCTGAATCAAAACACAGATTTCCTGTATACTATGCATCTTAATACAATTCAGCATTCAAAGAGACACAAAAGAGTGTATGTAATACACAGACCTGTGTGTCAGGCTCCTAAACTGATCACTTAATCATCCCAACACCATATGTTTCTGTTCTTCCCATCATCTGGGTTAGTACAAAGCTTTGCTGTGCCCCACAGAACTGATACAGGAATCAGCTACTACCAATAAAGCTCTACTTATAGCTTCTGTCAATGCAAACTATTGTAAAGTATAAGCCAGTGTTAGCATGTCATAAGAGATGCTGTTTAACACTACACCAGTTTCCTACATATGCTATACTAGCATCAGCACATTCTATTGCTAAGGCAGCTATATTTAACTATGGCTGAAATTAATTTACTTGAAGTGCACTAAAACTTTACAGCTTAAGGCATTGTATAAACATGTTAATTTTCTGAAATATACTGAAAACAAGGCGATCCTCTTTGAGGTTTCTTCAACAAGTGGCTGCAGGTTGTTTGGCCAACTACTATGTACAAAAGTCACTTACCTTAAAGGCAGAATAGCAAGGAGTATTGCTTTTTCATGAACGTGCCAGCCAAACATGAAAGAGCTCAACGCACAAAGAACAAGGCACTGTAGAAAGCCTCTGGGCCCTTGAGGTTTAAACCAAAGACAGAAAACAGAGGGCTAGAAACAACAGGCAAAAACAGGACTTCAGTGAAAAGTTTGGCAATCCTGAACACAAGCCATTGTCCAATGAGATTTTTTTCAATGTTAATAAACACCACTGCACCCAGGTTGTGCCTGTGTGGCACGAGCATTATATAACACCAAGTGAACCATATCTATCTGGATGTACGAGTAGCACTTTAAGGATTTCATCGGTCTAACAGGAGGGAAAAAGACTGAAAGAGTACAGCCAACTCGCTGTTATTTGTGTCATATGAACTGTCTTTGAATCTATGCCACTAAACTCATTTTATCGATGCTGCTACATAAAAGTGTTGAAACAAATATTCCCAGTTAAAGGCTAGCTGGTCATTACAGCTAAAAAGACACTGTATCTATGTAATTATTTACTGAACTTTCAATTCTTTGCCTGTCACATGAACACTACACTTACCTGTAGCTTATGCCATTAGGAAGACCATAAGCTGCCCAAACAGTTCCAGCACTATCTCTACTCACATCCTAGTTCAACTAACTTTTATCACAAAAGGTTACTATGAGCTCTGCATGGAGAGTAGTCTTGAACCAAAACTGCTTTTAAATATCTTAAACTGTTCTAGCGCTGGCACAGGCCATAATTATAGCCATACTTGAAGAAAGTAATATTGTGCATCAATAAAGATATTAATTCTACATTTATCCTAACAATTGCTTTTATTATTTTTAAAGAAAACTTATTTGTTGTCCTGGAATTAAAATTCATGTGAAGCGCATGCTAATCAAAATCTATAGGGGGAAAAACTCATCAGGTTTCCAAAAAATACTATTTGTTCTTACCAATATAGATATGAAAGTACAGATTAATGTTCCCAGTGGAGTCACAGAAGGGAGGACAGTATGCTGAAATTCTTGAACCAGCCCTCCTGTCATGGAGGCTTTAGGAATTTTGGTGGGATCAAGAAAATTGCACTTTAAACCTAAAAAGAAAGCATAAAAAAGAAAAAACTGATAAACATTAATGAAGAAAATGAAGTAGCTGAATGAATTACATGGCCAAGTCTTTTCTTTTTCAAAGTCAGCAGGGAGGAATGATTGATTTCTGACCTACTGCTGGAAACTTAGGTACTGGATTATGCAGCAATCGGATGATTTAAGGCAATCTGAAAATGTAATTTGTTACCCGCATTTCAAATTAGGAAGACTAAAATCCAGAGAGCTCTATCTGCATTTAGGCACCATATAGTAAGATTAGCATACTGTACCAAAAATTGTTAGTGCTTTATCCATGGCACTGTACAAAGCCCAGAAGTTAGGGGCCCAGTAAGCATGGCAGAGGCCTCGCTTGAAAGGAAAAAGCCGTGAAATGACTTGAGGCAGCTGGCCCTACAGAAAACAAAAAAGAAGAAAGAAATGGCCTCTTTTGATTGGACATGGTTTATATTTTTATAACACAATTTTCTGACAGTTCAGGGGAATGACAAGTGAAAAAGAGGTTATTACCAACACTATGAAGGGACCCAAGGAAAGAGCAGAAACAAGGCAGACAATCAATCCCAGAAGAGCTACATGAAGCAAGCTGAAACTTCTCCACTTCAGGGATCCATCTACAAGAAAAATTATGAAAACAGTTACTGTTGAAAGCATAATGGGAGACAAATCATTCCACACTAGTGAACTGCTAGCACCTATCTAAAAGAAACACACAGCCTTTTATGTCAATAGATTCAGTTGCTTCCTTCAACAGTTAGTCTGCATTTACTTTTTCCACACGGCAGCTCCTCCATTATACAAACTTTCCGTATTTTCTCTTTCAAGAGGGGCCTTCTCTGTTAATGTCAGGAATATCAAACATGTTTTTCAGTGCTAAGAAGTGGAGAGAAACTCAGAGAAGGACTTTGAAATAGCTTCCGATACTATCTAATTGATTAATATCCAGAACAATTATTAGAGCTTCAAACTACCATCTGCAGTTTGTTCATGTTTTTTCTCAAAGAACTCCCTAGAAACACAAATTTTACATAAATAAATTTCAAAGACCTTGCCAACTTTGTCACTCAAGCAGAATTTTTTTGACCCACAGCCATTTCATTTCAATAGTATCTGCACATCTCCAGTCTTCCCCAAACCCCACTAATTAACACAACCCCCCAAAAGTGAGCAAGGAAAAACCCATCTTACCTGCATTATTTGCAGTAAAGCAATAGGATCGTAATAAATAAATGCCATATGCTGGGGCCACGTATATGTAGATGTGTTTGAAATGCAGAAGAATAGCAAAAAGAAGAGCACCCTCCAAATATCTTTTCTGAAAGAAAAACAACACAAAACCCAAGCTTTTCTACTTGTTCTCCCTTTGTACTAACTTTTAATGGTCCTCCATTTTACTCCCAAAGTGACAGGACATTTATCATAGGCATAAAAAAAGAGTATTTACTTCAAATTACAAACTCAGTAGTGTTATGTACAACAGGTATGGAGAAAACTATACTGTCACACAATGCAGGGAAAACTGGGGTAGGCCTCACCTCCCTGCAGCTTCAGAGGTATGTTTTCTAAGGACTGATGACTTAGAAGAAGATAAGATGGCAGTAAACCATGCCACGTTGCTGAGGTATAATGCAATTTAGCATTCTCACAGGGAACTGCAATGCTGCAGCATCAGCAAGCAATTATGGCAGGTTTCAAGTTACCCTCTTCCCCCCCCAAACTCAACAAATAATTAGACATCCATTTTAGCACCCCTCAACTTTGAGCTGCTCCCAACATCTTCAATATGAGCAGCAAAATGAAAGTAATTAATGCACCTAAAATACATATGGTGACAAACAGCAAAGAGCCACTCAGGTTTACCTGACACAGTCGAGCAACAGAAAGAAGCATCAGCCCAAATAGAAAGCCATTGTACTGAAAGTGGATATCTGAACTTGAGTCAAGAAAGGAATAAAGCAAGTTTTCTTTACTACTATCAGTCTTCTGGGAAAGATGCAAACTTAAGTTCAAATTAAAATGGAAATTAAATTACGGAAGTAACATTAAATTCATTCCACGTAGATGTGAAGTCATTACATAACCATACCTATAAGCACAGACACAAAATCTACTGATGGTAGTACGTTATCTTGGTGAAATGAAGCATAACAACCTGATCACACATGTATCATGCAACTTATGTGACAAACTGAAACGAACAAAAGGTTAATTCTTCACTTTTTAAATATTAGTTTCTGCCTTGCACTGGTTAATGGATGGAGACAGCAGCCCTCACTTATCACCTGTAAGCACACAACTTCAGCAAGGACTGGGGCAGACAAAACTAGTTCTTGCTGTACAAGAATTACTGTTGTTTTCCTCCCTCTATTCCCTCCCCAGCTAGATCAATGCACATTATGTCAAGACTGACTCACAATAATACAACTTTCCAGAGGTGTTTTTATGGCCACTGTAAAGAAAAACTCTTGCTAATTCTCATCTAGCATTAGCCAACGCAATACAGCCTGAACATAAAGCACTTGTAGAGATTTTCTTTCCATGGGACAAAACTAGAATCACGTGCAAAAAAATAAGATGCTCTCTGCTAATACTCCTGTACACAGGCTGAAGAGGAGCAGCCAGCAGGAACAGGCATGTTGCTGCCAGACTGGTCCTCTTGCAGTTCTAGGAAATCAGACCAAAAACCGAACAATTTCCATAAAAATTCTAATGAAAATATGAAGTTATTCAACTAACCCCAGAAACACAAACAGTAGTGTTACTTGTTGTGATAGTAATATTCATGTGTTTGTGCCACACGCTGTAACTGTTGTTTTTAAAAAAAAAAAAAAAAAACAAACTACACAAACAACCCACAACAGCTTGGAAGGATACGGTCCACAATTAACAACCCAAAATTCCACAAGAGCAGAACAGCAAGAATAAATGTTGGTTTTTCCAGGATATCCTTTGCAGCTCGTTTCCCATTTACACATCTACAGCACCTGAACAAGAGCAGAAGAAACAGAAGTCTTAATTGAAAGAGACAACAAAAACATCATTGCTTTTAAGGGTTGAGACGCACACTTAACATGAAGAAAACTATTTTATTAGGATGGAAGGCAACAATGTAATTCTTGCTATATTCATCAAAAAGAAGACAGTGTCATGAATAAAGTTTAGTAAAAAAAGGATTTCAAGTTTCAATAGCTGTAGTGGGTTCCACATGCTAAAGTTTAAGTAACTTAGTCTCAAGTTTAAGTCTCACATTCAATAATAACCAGATAGTTGTCCTAACCTGTTTGCTATTAACTTCTTTTGAATAAAGAATATATTGCTGCACCTGGAGACAATGTACAAAGCTGTATTTAAGGTCCTCAGTTGGACATTAACGTCTTCCTGGCTCCCCCCTCCAATATTATGAGCTACTTCTGTTGGTTAAAAAATATCTTATTACTTCTCAGTGTGAAGCCACATGGTCCATATTTTTTATGGTAAGGTTAGATCAGATTAAAAAGTTGTGGATGATTTGTGCTGAATTGCTAATAGTAGAGCCATTTTAAGAAAGCCAGCTCATTCATGCATCTGAGTCAAAACAATGAAAAGGAAAAAGTCACAATTCAAAGCTAGCCCATTTCAAATAAAGAATGTAAACAGGAGTTTAGGTAGTGCTCCAATGCAACAGAGAACTTTCTACCTAGATCTTGAGCAGACAGAATAAAATGAGGGAAGACTGTTACAGCCAAATTGTTAAGGTAGGCAACATATTCCCCAAAACATTTCTCCCTCTCTACTCTTTAGGTGTAAGTTAAAGACTTCTTCACAAAGTCAGGGCATATTGAAAGCACAATCTTAATATCATTAAATTAGACTTGGAATAATCAGCTTATCAGGAATACCAAAAACAATGGAGTGACTTAGCATATTTGGTGATACTGGCATTTTGTCACAAGTTTCCTTTATGCTTCTACTCTAAATTAGGAGAGTAACAGAAGTAGTAACAGGAAAAAACAGTTGGGTGCATCCAAGCTGCCCTGCAATTCTTACAAAATGAACCGAGCAACAAAACCAAAACACCTGTAACATGTGAAACAGCAATTTGAAATATTTGAATGTGTACAAATCTGATCACATACACTGCAAGAGCATCCCCAACAACAAAAAGCTGTCTTGTCTTTAGCAGTGTGTTAAAGCAACTTTTGATATTCCCATACATTTACAAGCTTATTTCTACATATAAACATTTTTTGTTAGTCTACAAAAATGTAATAGATTAAAGACTACCCACTGTCCCTAAAATTAGAACATTAAGACTTACTCACGAACAGCATATATGTAAAGGATATCTGTAAAGATGACAGAAAATCTTTGGAAGAGGATGGTCGCTTGACTGGTGTAATTTAGATTTTCTATAACCAACATCTTGGGGTCAAAGTACTTGGCAACGTGCGAAAGTGCGTATTCAAACCAAGCAAAAAATGGTGGATAATCCAGGGTCCATTCTGAAGTTGCCTAAAGACAAGATTAAATAGTTTAACACAATACATGCTGTTTACAGTCCTTCAAGTACAGATCCTCACAGCAAATCAGCTGATGTATTTTATCTCAGGAGCCTCTATTTAACAGAATCTCCTTCACAACAGAATAGCCAGCTGTATGGTGCTGACCATGATTTGAGATGTTCTGTAGTACTGGTAGAGGGACAGGACATCTCTTGATTAGTAGAAAAAGATTAAACAGCACTTTGTGTATCTGTACCTAACCAGTAAACAGGTGTCTGTTCTTTATAAATCAACTTACAGTAATAGGGCCAATATTAAACAAAAATCTAAAAATAGCTGGCAGTGAATATTGGTCTACATTAGAGGAATCACCAGCACAATCAGCCTTGTTACAGTCTCAAAATTACTTTTACTCATTAGTCAACAAGTCTTAATTCTTTTAAGACTATAGCAAGATCAAATAGTATTATTTGATCTTTTTGCATAAAGATTGTTATTATGCCCTGACCAATGATTAACTCTTTAGCTGTGGAAACAGGAGAGGAAGAAGGAACAAAGCAGGTTAGGACAGAGTATATTTGTCAGTGTGAATGTTCCCAAATGCTTATGTTATGCTGCCAAAATGCATCCTACGCTTTGGCAACTGGGATCTTACTGGGATCTGCAGGAATTTGTTTTACTGTATTGGATGAGCCTGTCATAAAGTTCTGAGCTGCAACAGTCATTTACTCCTGGATACAGAGTTCCCAGATTCTTATGTGGAGGAGTACTAGAGTCTATGACATTTACCCCAGAACTCAAGGAGACATTGTGATATAGACTCAGCCTACACAATTGGGTTTTAATCTCTATTCAACTTAAAAGTGATTCACTTGGATTAAAATCGATGCATGCTGGTAGCATACCAGCAGAGGCTCAAAACTTTAATACAGTGATTGATTTAATAAGATATATACCCATTTAAATGATTAATTCTTCATTGTGATAACTGTGTACCATTAGAGCATCAATTTAAGACTACCATGAAACTTGCTCTAGTGTTATGCTGCCTTTCTAACAACCCATGTGCTTCAACTTCTAATGACCCATGTGCCTTAATTGTCTTTTCCATTTTGCCTTCACATGTCCTAGCAGCTTCTCAAAAAAATTCTCAAATTTTAACTAAATACTACACAGGGCCAACAAACCATGACTGGTATGTTTTTGTACCATTGCACTACAGCTGTCAACCATCAGTATTCAGTATCCATGACATATACTTTCTGCAAATAAAAGCATTTCTCCTCTGGCATTTACATAGGCTGACATACCCAACATCCCTGTAAGTTATAGGCAGCTAAAAACCCCCCAATATGTACTTACTTCATAGTACCACTGAGAGACAGGTAAGTTGTGAGTGATGGCAAGCCAATTCCTGTGTACTTCAAAGTCTGTGGAATAACTACAGAAGGTTTATATTAAGAGTCACATATACACACTTAAGGGAGAAATATCTCAGAGCACATTAGCAGAGCCTTCCTTTTTATCAAGTAACTCAAACAGTAACAAGGATGCTGCGTGAACTTTGTGGCAAGGACATATATAAGAGACTATAGAATAGGGATTATTTATAGCTCGGCCTTTTCTGTCAATGCCAAAACCTGATTTTTTTCAGTAGTAACTTAGGCTTTTTTTTTTTTTTTTTTAGGAGAAGCGCTGCAGGGCCGTTAAAAAATATTTAAATGCCTTTCCAAACAACAGCCAGCCAGGACGGGCTGCAAGCGCCTCCAAACACAGACGCGAAGCCGCTTCAGGCCGCCGAGGACGAGGAGGCAGCACACCCCGCTCCCCACAAGCGTCCGAAGGAAAGGGGGGGCCCCCAGGACTCCCTCCGGAACGGCGGCACCAGGCCAGCCTGTGCCCCCCGCCCCGTCCCCAGCCGCCCCAGCGAAGCTCCTTACTACGCGGGGATGAGGAGGCACTTGAGGAAGGACACGCCGAGCGCCAGCACGCGAAACCAGCTCCGCCCGCCCGCCGCCATGACACGCCCGGGCGCTGAGCAGCGCCCCCGCGCATGCGCCGGAACGGCGGCGCGGGCCCGCCCGCACCGTTTAAAGCGCACGGCCCCGCCCGCCGCGCGGGGGGTGCGCATGCGCCGTGCTCTGCGCCCCCGCGGTAGACAGGGGGGTGGGTGTCTGCCTCGGGCGGCGCCGCGCATGCGCGGGGCGGAGCTAGGCGGGGCGCTGAGGGGGCGTGGGGCAGTGTGGGGACTGGGGGGACGAGCAGGTAGGGAGATGCATGGTGTTGGGTCTGAGTGACGTGGGGTTGGAGGTGGGAAGCCTGGGTGATGTGGGGTCAGGTATGGAGTTAGGTGGTGGTAGGACTGAGTGATGTGGGGTTGGGTGGTGGGAAGCCTGGGTGATGTAGGGTGGTGAGGCTGTGGGAGCAGATATGGAGTTAGGTGGTGGGGGACGAGGTGTGGAGTTGGGTAGTGTTGGGTCTGAGTGACGTGGGGTTGCGCGCTGGTAAACCTGCGTGATGTGGGATCAGGAGGAGAGTTTAGTGGGGTTGGGTCTGAGTGATGTGGGGTTGGGTGGTGGTAAACTTGGGTGATGTGGGGTTGGGTGGCATAAGATCAGGTGGGGAGTTAGGTGGTGTGGGACCAGGTGGGGAGTTGGGTGGTGTTGGGTCTGAATGACATGGGGTTGGGTGATGGTAAACCTGGGTGATGTGGCGTGGGGTTGGGTGGTGTGGGATCAGGTATGGAGTTGCGTGGTATTGAGTGATGTGGGGTCAGTCGTGGTAAGCCTGGGGGATGAGAGATCAGGTGGGGAGTTGGGTGGTGTTGGGTCTGAGTGATGAGGGGTTGGGTAGTGGGAAGCCTGGGTGATAGGGGGTTGGGTGGTGGTGGGTCTGAATGATGTGGGGTTTGGTGGTGTGGGGTCTGGGTGATATGGGACCATTAGTGGGGTTGGGTGGGGTTGGGCCTGGGTGCTGTGGGGTTGGGTGGTTGGTGTGGAGCTGCTGTGGGGATGTAGTTGCAGCAGCCTGGGCTTAGGCTGCTCCTGGTGGTCAGCACGTCAGTGAGGAGGGGACAGGCTGTTGTGCCAGTTCCATCTTCAGCATCACTGGCCTCACACAGGGTTGGCTTCACCTGAGCGCAGCCCCAACTCCATCCCTTCATGCTTCTCTGTACTAGAGTTGAGAAATGCTGTTCCTACAGGGCTCAACATCAGCCACTGCTTCTTCCAGGAGACCACCCTGGAGACATAACCTGGGATATGGTTAAAGAGGTGGAGGGCTCTGGCTCACCCTGGATCTGGGTGATCTTTTAGGATATCTCTCTGGATGCTCCTTCGCATCCCCTCTGTGATGTGGGGCATGGTGCCGAGGAGCCCACCACACTGCTATTGTCATCAGCATGGGCTTAACTGTGGTGATTTGGGACAGAGAAAGAGTGGCCCACCACGTGCCAGAAAAAGGAGTGTTTGTGGGTGAGTTAATGTTGGGTGAAGAGCATGGGGGAATTTATGGTAGCTCTCATGCTGACAGCTGCCCGGCATCGGGCAGAAACCACTTCAAATTACACCAGCTTAGCTCTGCTCCAGGGAGGTGCCATCTCCAACCACTGTCACCAGGGTCTGAGTTGGCTTCCACAAGCTCAATTTTTTAATACCTGGAAGAAATTGCCAGCCTGGAGATTAGGTGGATGCTTGCAAGGCTGATGCCTTTTCACTTCCTTACAGGAAACCTTCATCTATCTAGGAATAGTACCTTGTAGGGGCTGCATGAAATCATACAGATAATATATTAGACTTATTTTTCCATGTACAGCAGCAATGTATTTTGGTTTGTTCAAACTTGGAGTCTAGAGACAAGTTCAACAGCAGTAGAGCATTGGGGTTTAAGAAGGGTTTTCACTGGAGAAATGAATCTTCTGTTTATAAATGTTTGAAACATAAATGAGCTAATGCATTTAAAATGGTTTCAGTTATTTAGGAAGGCTTGTTCATCCAAGTTTTCTACAACTGCAGTAATTTTGTGGAAACATCCTATGATTCTCAGACACAGAGACGTCTAGGTAAGCATTGCAATGGTTCACTGTGTAAAATCCTTAGAGAGAAGAAGAACAGATTCAGCAAGTATCGCTGCATGCTCTTTCCTCAAGAAATGTATGTCAGGCAGAACTTCTGCTTCATTCACATTTTATTTACTGTTTTCTAAAATACATATTAGTAACAGTTCACAAAAGACTTACAGGCAGAGAAATGCAAACAGATTTTTAAATGTGATAACCCTACAGGCTTTATATGAAAGTGATAAGAAATAAACCCCATCTTTTGACACTTTCCAAATAGTTTTCATTCAAAAGCATGGCTTTTAGTGAACTGGGGGCCAAATTCTGATCAATGGGAAAATGCTACTTAGGGGTAGGAACAAGAAAATAAGAGGGACGGGAATGGCCAGAGGAGAAAGAGAAAAGGAATTGTTCCATACAGCCCTCCTCTATAGCTCCTTTTTTTCCGAATTCATAGGGAAACCATCCCTCGTGTTACTCCCAAGTGAATCTGAGAGCATGATCTGCATATTCATGGTTGATCCAGCCCTTCTCACACAGAATATTTGCATGACTGCCTGTACTAATTCACATGCGAGATTTTTACTCAGAGGGCCACATATTGTACTGCTTGTACCCTGCGTGTTTGTGTCCATCAGTGTGGTGGATATGGGAGTCATTACAGAGTGGCAGTTAAATATTTCAGAATATATTGAAGTTCTGAGCAGTGACACCAAATTCAAAGGGGTGGGGTAAAAATTAAACTCCCCAAAGGAGTCTTCTTCATAATTATTGCATTTCTCTGTGAAGTATCAGAAGATCCTAGATTTACTTTCCACAGTCTATGGCTGAAGACAGTATTTATCACTCCCATCAACCTTATATATAGAACCTAACAGCCCTTCCTAGAGTGGGAATAAATCTGATTGACTGCAGGTGTCTGATTCACTGCCAGTGAACTCCAGCAGCAATTTATACTCAGCAACCTAGTTAAAATATGGTAACTACAGCACCGCATATGTTTGATGATTTAAAGCACATGCAAATTGAAGCAAAGCTGTCTGCTCCTGACAAGTTACTAGCATAACTCTTGGCATGACCAATATTTAGGTTGCATAATAGGAGATTAAAACTGGAAAGGACCAGTGAGTCATTCTAATCACGGCCTCCTTCCATAGCAAAATCTTTGACTCCATTGTGATCTCCGTTTTTTTTCCCAACACATCATGATTATTTATTCTCTCCCTTCTAAATCCTGGATTTCTTGTTAATGTGTGAACTCTTTCAGGTCTAACTTTTAACACCTATTTCTTCTATTTCCCTACCATTGCTGGCAGCAACAAACACTCCTCCCGCTAACTCCTACTGACCCTTAACAGCTGCATGAACCAAAGCTGTCTTAATCTTTATGTGTGGTTTCAGTCCTTTCATTATAACTGGACATTGTTCTATATTTAAGAACTATCAAGCCTAAAACACATAGAGAAATCCATGAGTGATTATTTCTGGACTCCACTAAAATGCTTCGTAATAATCTTTTTGTCATATAAGAACTCCCACTGTGCTATGCACATGCCCAAATCTGAAAATGCCATTAGACTACAGCTAATAGCTTCTTTATCATCTGCCATAACTCTCGTATTTTTCTGCTCTAACACTTGATTGTTCTATTCAGTGGCTCTCTCAGCATGTAGTCCTTTTAAAAAAAAGTGCAGGGCTTCGCCTCATTTTGTCCATGAAGGTGTTGAGGGAGACAGGCATATGGCAGAATCAGAACAGAGGTTACACATAAAGATGTGGAAGCACGCACCCTTCAGACTTTAAGGGAAAAAGCCTCACTAGATTGTCTCCTTGTTCTCAGGCCCTTGCAAGAAAAAAATTAGTTTGTTCTGAGACTGAATATTACACTCAACAGTGAAATAATTTTTAGATGTTACTGCTAATAAATGCCAAGTGCTTTTCATGACTAGTGATGGGGTTGCACTGTACTTAATATGACCTTACGCATGTTCCCTTTAATTCAGTAAAACTCTTGAGAATAAAAATATTCAGTGCTGTTGACTGGTAAGCAAAAGCAAGTTACACTTCTAGGGCTCAGAAAAAGAAGGTAAACAAAAGCCAGCTATCTAGATGAAAAGGGAACAAATGTTTTGGAGGGAGAACATTCCTATAAACAGTCATTATAACGTAACTCACAGGCTGCAAAATTAAGGAGCAGCTATAAATTTAGCTTAGTGTGTAGTTTGAATAGCAACTGCCTTTGTATAACATATTTGACTGCAATCACAAGTGATTCACTTACCACTTATTTCACGTACTCTATTAGCATACAGAATGGCTGTGGCATTCTAAATAGTATCTCACACTTAAAGATGTTTATTCTGCTTAGAAATTTAGAGGTATCTCAAGTTTTTCTATTCCTCCCAAAGCCTGTTTTCACGCATGTCTTTATACTTGTTGGAAATATTGCATCTCTGCATATAGAAGAGAGCTATTTTGCATTTCTCTCCGTATTAATAAATTACAGAGCTTTGTGGCCAGCCATACCTTTGCCTGATTTAGTTAGATGAGCACAGGTAAATGTGTTAAAGTCATCCATCTTTTACATAGTAGACTGATGGGTTAAAGCACTCCAGAAGACCTGGGTTCAGTTCTCTCCTTAGTCTGTGGGGACTGAAAACTGTGTTTCCATGTCAGTGGAATTACCCATTACTGTCTAGGCCAGGTTGGGGCACTCTTCATTCCTTGTTCAGACTGTTAAGAAACTGTATAACTGCTTTTTGTGTGGGTGCTGCTACTGTGTGAAGATAAGGGGAGGAGTAAGTGCTCTAGATCACGATCTGTACAGTGCTTTTATGGACTCCTCTTACTTGCCTTTCACCAGAAAATGCAGTAATGATTCAACTCTGCCAGGGAATATTTTTATTTTGCTGAAACAGAATGGAGCAGTACTGATCCAGACCTCTAAAGGATATAGATGAAACGTTTTCCCCCCTTCCAAATGAGATTTAAGCCCACTGGTCTTATCTTTAGAAAAACTCAAACTGACAGGAAATAAATTACTATAGATAAGTATTATTGTAGTTCTGATACACAGGAACTACTGTTACAGATCATTTAAAAATCTCCTTTCAAGGGTGTGGATTAAAAATAAATACTGTCAGCAGTCCCCAAAAACTCTGCTAGCATAAATTCAGCAAAGGCATAGATTTGATGAAAGAGGATTCACGTATGGTATTTTAGAGATCATAATCATATTACCTGCATAGATCATCACTGAGAATGTCCAACTGACTGGCAAACTCATGTCAGAAATAAGATTCACACAGGAGTTGCTTTGCTTTGTCAGTGGCATGCAGCAACCCCTGGAACAGATTACTTCAGCTTCGTAATTCAGGACAGGGATGGGGGAAAAAAAAAAAAAATTTCTTCCTAATACAACTAAAACTAGAAGAATATGGTGACTCAAGCTGGAATTTGGCCACAAAATCCTGTTTACAATCCTCAAAATTCACAAAATTTTCCAGGTTTAATGGTTCTGAGGGCTTCAAGCCCAGTCAGTGCTTCCTAACAACATGGTCCCATATACATCATGCTGGTTTAGCACCAAGTCAGGCAGGGCCAGTGGTTTATAACAGGCTGCCAAAAGCTGCAGAATGTGCGCTTTTGCCGTCAGCATGCAGATTTGTGTGGTTCATGCAGTTACAGTTTAGGACTGTAGAAATATATTTATCTCTCTGGTTTTTACAACAGTAACAAAATGCTTCTTTCAGCTTGTTGACAGGTCAGCTTAATGTAATGACAGACTAGTTACTTTGGGAAACAAGAACATAGGCAATACTGAGCTTTGCCACTCTGTGCTAAGAACTTTTGGAAGCACTAAAATTCTAAATGAAAAACTTGGTTTTTGCATTTTCCCTTCTATCTCATTAGAGATAATGGGAAATGTTCCAGAGGGTCTCTCATGTGCACGTAGCAATCTGGTTAGGGAAAGACAGCTAAGATACTTTTAGACATAATTAGCTGAGAATGAACCACCTTGAATGTGGCACAAATGATGTTTAGAGCTAACGTGCAGCTAAGTGGATTATGATCTTCATTGTAGCACAGACCGGGTGCGTAGGAAAGAGCTTGACCATTGTCATCACCTCTGGTTTCCCACTGCCTTATCTCCGACAACGACACTGAAGCCAAGCAAGCAGGTAAAATGCTAGCTTAGTGACTTGATCATTTCACAGTGATACATATAAAAAAAAAAAAAGGCTCAATGTACCGGGTTAGGAAAAGTGAGCTTCTGTTTCTGTAATGAAAAATACTAGGCGTAACCTGATGGGAATGTTGTTGTTTCACATGGAATCCATCCTACCCAGAGAGCATCCCGGGCACTGCTGAAGGGAGATGCACCCAAAAGAAGGCCATGTCCAGGCAGAAGAGGCTCAAATGTTTAGAAGAGAGCCCCCAAATATGTCTCTACCTCAGAAAGTTTCAGCAGCATCCTTCAGACAAATATTAACATTGTAAGAGAAGGAAAAGGACTAGTTGTCTTGGATGCCTTTGGAATGTAAAAGTAAAGGTTTAAGAGCATCCAAAGCAAAGTTCCCCCACCAGCCACAATTTTCTCAGTTTGTAAGAACACCATTCTCTCTGCTATGGCTTCCTTGGTCGTTCCCCATTCCAGTCACATCACTCAAACATGGCTTCCCCGAAAGCAGAACAGAGCAGGGGCTTCCTCACAGGGTTCAGAAAAAAAACCCCAGCCAGCTTCAGGTGATGACAGAAAACCTTTGCTGAACCCAAGGAGACGGGATCCCTTACTCGTTTGCTGTTTTCACCATCCTTTACAGCTATGTTGAGTGTGTGCATGTGGGGAGGCTGCTTCTCTGCAGATCCAACCAACCAAGCTTCTTCGATGCTCTGCACGGGTGACATGGCAAGACAAGGAAAATGTTCCCCCAGGGCCGTGTGCTGCACTGCAGTGCCATGGCATCCTTCACCACATCTGTTCTCCAGACACCTTCCAAACCTTGATTACTGAACCCTCACATTCCCTTGCAATATAAGTTAAGGATCACTCTGATTTTCCAACTGGAAAATGTAGGAAGGACAGAAGTTAAGTGGTCTTCCCCACAATTGTACAGCAGGTCAGAGGTGGAGGCAGAGACATAACCAGTCCTTAATTCAGGTGCTAGACAATATTCCTTCCATCTAGAATATGGACATATTCTGAAAGGTCATATTGGTAAATATGTTAAAGGAAAATCATCTCCCTGTTAGTGACTCTTAATCCAGATAAGCATGATTCTGAATTAGGCTGTAAGTGTGTTTTAAAGGGAAACACTTAACCTGTGTTATCTCCATGCTGGCACCGTAATAAACAGCCATTCCTACTTGTATCGAATTAGGCGAATAATCTTATTATTCATGAAATCTGAAGTATGTGGATGTGAAGAATCTATGCAGAAACCATCACTCATGGCTATTTTTAGCACTTCTTCCACAAACACCTGGAAACTATTAATTTGCTTATTATCTGGCACCACCCAGAGTCTCTTTAAGTTCTGCCTGGTGTACTCCTCTTCAGGAAGGCCTTCCACACTTGCAACCCAATCTAAGGTCAGATGGTTGGGGTCCTGCAGGTAGCTGGATATTGAAGAGAGGTTTCCGTTGAAGCAATAGTAAAGTTTGGAACCAAGAAGCTTCAAGAACAGACATGATGTGGAGAAGATATGAGCACTGAACACTTCCATGTTGGAGGAAGACAGGCTGTAGATCTGGGGTGCTTCTCGGACTGTGAAGTGAACAGTCTGGGTCTTCTGATCGAGGGTGATGTTGAGCATGGCATTCTTCTCCGCTTTAGAAAGCTCCACCTCCTTCTCCTGCAAGGCTTCAATCAGTGGCTGGATTTGATAAAAGTCTACCTCCCGTCGAAGTAAGCCCATTTCCTGAAAGTCTTCGGGGAGGTCCAAGTGAGAAGTTCGTAAGAAGTTCAGGATATAGCGGAAGATTTTCCCATCTCTGTCAATAAAGCAGTTGCCTTGGCTGTCCTTCTTGGTTGGGATCTTCCCACTAAACATAGCCCCCAGCATAGAGTCGGGAAAGCTAGTCAGGGTGGACAGAGAGGTGGTATAGAGTTTTCCTCCAACATTGAGTGTGATTGGTTCTGACATGATAGAGGAGTCACGATGCTGGGACTAATTCTAAAAAAAAAAAAAAAAAAATCCAAACCCACACATTTAGTTGCATTTACCTGTTTGAAAAGTTAAGATACAGATTCCTAAATATATAAGGGTAACTATGGCACAAATTCATCAGTGAAGTTAGAAGTAAGGAATTACTTTTGGAGGTTGTCTCTTGAGAACAAGAGTAAGGATATTTTTTCTCCCAGCAGACTTGATCAGGACTTTGATTAGTTCAGTTTAGTGCCAGAAATCATGAGTCTTCCAAAACTTTACAATCATTCTAAAAGTGAAATCTCTCCTGAGATTTCATCCAATCATTCATTTGAATGACCGCTGACTTCAGAGCAAGAGTTGTGTCTTGGGCTCACCTGATCCCATCTCCCTTGTGAACACAGAATTTAGAGGGAAAGAAAAGGACAGGACAAGAACTGGACACATCCCAACATTTTCCATGGCATCTGAAGATATAATTAAAGCAACAAAGCTGTTGCAGCAGAATCCCCTGACACACATGTGAGTGCACTCGGCCTAGCAGGGAGCCAGTGAGCTGTACTGCTGTAAGCACGTGATAGTCTGCAGTTCCATTCTGTAAAAAAAAAAAAAAAAACAAACCCCACAAAACAAAACAGCAAGTTTTCTCCTTCCAAAGTGCTTTACGTTAGAAAACATTTGCTAATTAATTGGGGCCATATCCCAGTTGACGTAGTTTCCATGCAGCTCTTCTGCAATCAGCTGAGATGAACAGAGAATGTGACTTTACGGTGCAGTTAAGCATCACTGCCTCTGGAAGGGACATACCTCCCTCCTCCACTGCCAGCTCTGGCACTCATCTGACTCTGCAGTAAGCCAGTTTAGGGAGAAAATCCATCATTTTCTATTTAGGATATGTTTCTGCTATATCTTGGAATGAGACAAATGCCAGAGCTGGTGCAAGGGAAAAAGAAGGAGCTCCACAGCCCTTTCCACTGCAGATCAGCCCACTTGCCTTGAAAAGGCGGGCCCTCATTCCTGCCAGCTGAGGACCTGCAAATCTCATCCTTGTTTGATAAATCCAAATCAATCAACAGTTCATTCCCAGTTTTATTGTTGACTTAAGCAGCAGGGCCATCAGTGTGTGCTTGCAAAGGTGGCTCTTGCTGTAGTAATTATGGTCAGTCAACAGAAAGCTGCCAAACAGCTCCCTTAAAATTAAAGTGCAGGCATTTTCCTAACTAGTCATAGAATAATCATAGACACTATGAACACTATTATCAGCTCTGGAGTCACAGTAAATTACAGATAGGAAGAACATCATCTTGTGTCAATATATCAATTATTTTATGGCTGCTAAAACACAAATAATAGCATTAATGGCACCCCAAAACAAACACGCCTCTAGATAGCAAGCACATTTTGCTATGAAAAACTTGCCTAACCTAGGGAAGCTAATGAACAGGTCAAAGTAGAATCTGTATTTCACTTCTAGTTTAAGGCTAACATTCCACTCTGTTCTTTAGCCCACTTTAGCCCTTAGCACACCCTGTGTATCTCACTGCATGATAATTATTGGAAAGAAGCAGATCTCTAAATGCACCAAGTGCTTTGCCTGTGTATCCCTTAGCCCCACCTATCCCCCAAAATTGGCAAAGACTCATGCATAGACCCACACAACTCCCCATCTACACCTATGACCAAAGTCCATAGTTGTGACTAACTTCAGCCAAATATACCCTAGAAAAAAATCCTTTTTGTTCCAGTACTAAACTCCTCTTAGAGCTGTAGCCTCAGCGTACTTCCCACTCTTGAAGACTTCTACCCAAATTAGAGTCAAGAGCTATTTAAAATTGATTATATAGAGGCTTCAGCTGGTCTAATTCTGGAGTACGAGTGGCTGCCATGTATTTTACCCCTAAGGGCTTGCAGTATGTCTGCAAAACCATTGCTACAAGCATAATCTGACATTCACAAAACAGTCTAAAATGCATTTTACTTTTTTTTTTTTTTTCAAGTTTCATCCAGCAGAAGAGTTCCCTACATCTCCCTGCTAATAACACAGTCTGTGAAAGCAGGACTGGCAGTGACCCTAAAGGCCATGTTCGTTGCTTCTCATCTCTGCTACCCCTCAGGCTGCTTTAGACTAAATAACCAAAATTTTTCTGTTCTTTCCTCATAGGTCATGTTTTCAGAGTTTTGAGCCCAAGCCTGTTTATCTACAGCACAGCAGTTTGCTCATGCTCTCTGCCAGCCTTCACCAGCTGCAGAGAGAAGTTTCCCTCACTGTAGACGTGACAGGATTCACCTGGCAGAGCCCATTGTCAAGAATCACGACCTAAAGACCACCAGAACTCAACATCCACCCAAGGTTTAATCCAATCCAAAGACTCACTGGCTATGTAAGTTGAATGAGAGGCAGATGTCTCAGTCCTATCTGAACAGATAATGTTAAAATATCATAGAATCACAGAATGGTTTGGGTTGGAAGGGACCTTAAAGATCACCCAGTGCCACCCCCTGCCCCGGGCAGGGCCCCCTTCCCCCAGCCCACGGTGCCCCCAGCCCCGTCCAACCTGCCCTTGAACCCTTCCAGGGAGGGGGCACCCACAGCTGCTCTGGGCACCCTGGGCCAGCGCCTCACCCCCCGCACAGGGAACAATTTCTGCCTTAGATCTCACCTAAATCTCCCCTCGGTCAGTTTAAAACCATCACCCCTCGTCCTACCCCCACCCCCTGACCCAGAGTCCCTCCCCACCTTTCCTGTCCCCCCTTTAAGCCCTGGGAGGCCGCTTGAAGGTCTCCCCGGAGCCTTCTCTTCTCCAGGCTGAACCCCCCCAACTCTCTCAGCCCGGCCTCCCAGGGGAGCTGCTCCAGCCCCCCCAGCATCTTTGTGGCCTCCTCTGGCCCCGCTCGAGCAGCTCCGTGTCCTTCTGCTGTTGGGGACCCCCGAGCTGGCCCCAGCACTGCAGGGGGGTCTCCCCAGAGCGGAGCAGAGGGGGAGAATCTTGTAATTGGTTTCATTATCAGCAGTCTCAAAAAGGAGGCTGCCAACAAAATATGGCAGTAGCATGAGCTCTTTGAAGCTGAAGACCACGTCTATGCTGCCAGCATATGGCAAAAGCTACCTGTTTTCACTTACCGATGCCTTCACGTATTTAGAACCATCAGCTCAGTTCCTTCATCATCATAACACTTCCTTTGCTTAATCACTTTGAATGTAGAACAGCTTTGGATAAGCTTATTTCCCCTCTTACATATTCATCACATTTAAGAGCACTTTAATTAGCTAATAAATAAAATTCTGTATACGTAATTTAACTGAGTGCCTGTTTCACCCAACTTGGCAAAATCCCACAAGTGTACGCGTCATCATCTAAAAAAATAAGCATCACTCACCATTTGTCAACATAAATAAAATGTAAAGAAATGGCACAAATATTACTATGTATTTAACCACTATGAAAAATGGGTACAGCTGTAGTATCTCCATTTTAGACTAAAAATGCAGTTTAATGGAAAGTCTAAAGTTATAAATATGTTTATAAGGTTTTCAAAGAGATAGGGATCTTTCCTTAAGACATATACCTAGATATAAAGACAATTTTTATCAGGATTTTTCTGGTTACTTACTCAGATAGAAAATGATACCTTAGATCATTCCAGTTTAAAAATAATCTACCCCAAAAGACCAAGTTTATGAAACACCAAAGAGATATGGTAGGCCTGGTTCTGTTTAAGAGTCTCATTGAAGATCTGAAGAAAATTCTCTCTGAATTAACAAAATAAAGTTAATACTAGTTTAGCTGAAGGTATAAATACCAGCAAGGCAGAGAAAAGGTACTAAACAGATCAGAAAACAAAAAAAGAAGTTTTTATTTGGGAAGATGTGTAGCAATGCTTTGATTTCCCTGACAAGTAAACACTAATACAAGTATTTCTTGGGAAATTATTGCTTGGGAAAGCAGAAGTAATTGACTGCAAACACAGGTTTCACTTTCCAAATGGCAGGGTAGGAAAATGAATCAGTTCTTTGGGATTTCAGAGGCAATGCCCAAGACAGAGTTAACAGGCTGATCCTAGTGTCATTCAGAGGATCTCATTAATGAAATGAATTAAACACAGAGCAGCAAAGCAAGAGCAATCTGTAATTTGGTATGAGGGGCTGACGATGAGTTGTTGGGGTTTCCAGAGTCCATCCCACAGGCTACTTATACCTCTGAAGTCTTTACGCATGGCATTAAAGGCATTAAAAGTCGTAGCATGCCCTGAAATAAGTGTTAATGGATGCTGTGACAGCAACAGGGTCTTTTGCTGCCAGATGCAGTGATACATGGCCATTTACACAGTCATTGCCCCTGGTTTTAATTTTATACATCAGGTATTGCACTGTTGGTTAACTTTATCGTGTAGCTTTCAATAGCTTACCCATAAAACATCCCTCCACGCCCAAAATTTTGAAAACCTGTATCTAAGTGAAATATGTGCAGCTTTGTTAAGAAATAACTGAGAGGTAACAACAAGCTGCAAACTACACACACAGCAAAAAAAAAAAAAAAAATTAATTATTTAGGCTAGCACAATGAAGTATGCCTAAATGGCAATAAAATTAAACCAAGCCAGGGACCATTTCTGCTAAGCATCAGGAAGAGCAGCCAGACTAAAAACCTCTCTGGCTTTTTGAGTATTGCCCAAGAGAGCTGGTGAAAGCAACATCAGCTGGATAAATGTTACTAGAGACAGATCAGGTAATGCATTATAGGAAGCAGTTCTGCATTGGGAGGGGCAGGATTGATTTCAGCTAAAAAGGAGGTAAGAAAAAAGAAATATCTGGGCACCTGTATGGCAGCTGGAGACTTTAAATGGGGTTTGGCAGGATGTAGATGTTTTTTTTTCAGGACAGGGCTCCAGTCTGCTTCATTAGAGTGCATTAATGGCAAACACACACAATCAGGCAAAATCGTTCTGCTTTGGGCTCGGCCCCAGATTCCCCATGGCACGTATCGCCTTGCTCCATCACCTCTTACTGAAACCCCTGTTTCTGTTTGACGTAAAAATTCCAGCTTCCATGAAACACCTGAATCCTGAGAAAAAATCCCTCATGAAATTGTGAGCTCCAGATCTGGGCAAACCCAGCCTCACGGCACTTGCTGTGTCTCTACCTGCAGACCAGTTTCATGGCTTGCCCCTTCTGAAGGGGATGATTTTGCAGAGGAAATTGAGACCCTCAGCTACAAATTTGTGCCCCGCTGTCTTATGGGGGAACTGCAGATGAGGCAGTTTGAAGTCTAGAAATTATCCCATGAAAGACAGGAGAAAAAATAATAACAAAAGAACAAAGGGAGTGCAGAAACAAAATAAACAGTGTTTAGGGTATTAAAAAAAAAAGATTAAAAATTCAGCTGACCACTTACCTAGCCAGGAGCAGCCAGCAGGCATCAAGTGAGAGCTGAATTTAAGGAAGGATTTGGGACAAAATTCATCACAAGGACAGATTCACTCTCCCTTCATGTCTCCCTGATGCACATTTATCTCAGCTCATCCTCAACTACAGAAGGTTAAACATTTACAATATGGTTTCTACACCCTCTATGCTTATCTATAGTAATCTTAGAGATGAAAACTCATGTTTTCCCCTGGCTGCAAGATGGACCCAACTAATTTTGGACACTCTTTTAGTATCAGCCCCTCCAGTAAATATAGTACATCACTTAGAGGCTTAAAATTCAGTTGGTGAAGCAGAGCGTGGCGTGTCTGCCAGGGTCAATATATCCCGAAATGCAGTGCTGGAGGGGGGCCGGCAACTGCTTTTTGTTTCGAGACTGCTGCGAGCCACTGGAAATTTCCAGCCGGTGTTTGGGGAAAGGCTGCTCGCCCCCGAGGCTGGCACGGGGGACACGGGTGACGAGCTCCGGGAGGAAGGGACTCAAATTCCCAGCAGGCGTGTGGCAGGAAACGACGGCTCACCCTTCCCTTCTTGCTGCAAGA